GATTCTTGGGATCCCAAATGTATTATCAAGATGACCTAACTTATTCTCATTCTAAAGACCCGTTGTTTGGATTGGTAAATATGGAATTTTATCTGAACCTGCTTCATTCCATGAGCTATTTGCTTGTTACTCCTAAAACAGACATGGCTGGGACAGGAGGGTGGGGTTATCCCCTTTCTAGACCATCTGGCCCCTCTTGTTTCAGATTCTAAGAAGCATCCTTGGTTGCTCCATCCTCCATGTTTCTCACACACAGGACTGAAAGGCATTCATTAAGATGGAAGTGCACACCCTGTTTAACTTTCAGAGGATCAGCAAAATTATTTTTTGTCTGCATGAAAGATGGCAGCTTGACATTTTCCAGTCCTGGTCAACTCTTCAGACAAACGACTTGCTTATTGTCAAACTGCCAGCTCAGGCCAAGGCATCTCCCACTCCCGGTCTGCCTGAGTCCCAGCAGTCCTCTCCAACAAGCCTCTCACACTTCTAAAAAGGTGACATTTTAGCAGCCTGTTTATAAAACTGCCAGAGGAGCATTTATCATGAGGTGCAAACAGAAGAGGCACTGGAGAGAAAGGTTTTTCACCAGGTTTTCCAGAACCCTTCCTCCCAGGCCTCCTGGACATCTCTTGTTTCCCTGAGCAACCCCTCAAATATCAGAAGAACACGATTCAGCAGAACAGGGACCCCGGAAGGCAGATACTCGCTGTGTGAAAGCTTGGGCTGGGCAGACCGGAATGGCTAGAAGGGTCAGAATCCACCATAACTGTGTCCAAGGGATTATTAAAAGAATATGCTGAAGGGAAATTTTCTGGTCACACCAAGAATCCGAGAGGTTAAGGAACTGCTGATAAAATATCCCTGACTGACTGGAGTTGCCCCTGGCATTATATTACATTTTGACAGGCCGCCCATGTTGGAAAACAAATAGATATTGCTTCAACAAGATGGTGACAAATCAATTCTTCTCCAGGAACAGTGGCCACTGGAGCATAGATTTAGGACCATTATGCAGTTTTCTCTAGTGACTTATCCAGTTTGCTGTCTGCCAATTTGTTTGAACTTCTTTGGGGGAAATACCAGAATCAGAACTTAATGTCCTGAGGAGAAGCTACATCAGAACATTACTCATTAACTGAGAAAACCTGAAAATAACCAGAAAGATCTGGCTGCAGTCATTGAAGCTAGACCAGTATGGAGCCGCTGTCTCTTTCCTCCAGAGGTCACTGGTCAGGCCATCCATGACATGCTTGGGAAATCAGGGAAAGGAATTCTGATGGACCGCCTAGCCTGTGTTACACTGTTCAAGCCGAGTGATGAGGTCTTCCAAGCACCACAGAATTCCCTGTCACTAATCTCAGTCAGAAGTTTACAGCCAAGGTATGAGCCACCTTGAGGCTGTCCTGGTGGTTCGGCAGTAAGGAAGCAGCCTGCCTTGGGTGGGGAGATCCCCTGGAGGAGGGCTTGGCGACCCACTCCAGTATCCTTGCCTGGAGGATCCCACGGGCAGAGGGGCCTGGGGGCTCACAGTCCATGGGGCCGCAAAGAGTTGGACACAGCTAAGCAATTGAGCGCGTATGCACATACACACAGTCACACACACACACACCCTCTCACACACTCACACAAGCTCACACACACCCTCTCACACACTCACACAAGCTCACACACACCCTCTCACACACTCACACAAGCTCACACACACCCTCTCACACCCTCACACTCACACTCACACACACACACACACACACACACACACTGGCGATCCACCTCAGATCCAAGAACCTCGCCTCAGCGGGACTAGATGCCTCTCCCACCCTCCTCTCTCTCTTTCTTCTCTCCCTGTGAACATGCTCTCTCAGCCAACCGAAGGAAACGGAGATTAGGCAGTGTGGGCAGGGACTTCCCTGGTGGTCCAGCGGTTAAGACTTCGCCTTCCACTGCAGGGGGTGCAGGTTCAAGCCTTAGTCAGGAAGCTAGGATCCCTCATGCCTTGGGGCCCCCAAGCCAACATAGAACAGAAGTAATATTGTAGCAATGCTCAATAAAGACTTGAAAAAATGCTCCACATCAAAAAACAAAACAAACCAAAAAAAGAGTGGAGGGGCAGAGATGGGAGTCAGGCAAATGTCATGGTGTCCTAGGAAAGGAAAGAGACAAACCCTGGGGCCCCTAATAATTAAAAGCTACTCAGAGGAGCTTTCTGGCTGAAACAGGAGGTGGGTAAGGGACAAAGTCCCACAGTAACATATTCGTTTACCTGTCTGCTTCTTTCCTAGGCTTGTGGGCAACTTGCAGGCAAGATCTACCTCTTAAGGTCTTCTTTAGAGCAATGTGGGGTTTTTTTTTCTGACTATGGAAGAAGTCCATGTTCATTATAGAAAAATTGAAAAATATAAAAGGATATTTTTATACAGCTTTTTGAATAGTATTTGGGAGGTAACAGGCACTCAGGAAAACTGTGTTGGAAGAAAGGAAGGAAAGAAGCCCAGGACGCCTGTAACAGTGACATCAATCTCCTCATTAAGATGTACATTATTTAGCAATGGCCACGTGGGGGCCATGAGTCAGGAAGTGCTAAAGCCCAGAGCTGTTCAGGGTGGGGCTCAGGTTCACAGGCTGCCTGTGGCTTTGTCTGGCTACCACCCTGTCTTTGCTCTCAGAAGCTCATCACGAGGTATAAAGTGAATTTACCAGACTGTGAGGAGCTGGATTACTTAGCCTGGAGAGAAGAAGCCTTCAGAACACCTTAAAATTAGTATGGCAATTATTATTTCTATTATAAAAAGTAGTAAAATTTATTAGTGACAAATTGCAAAATATAAATAAATCCCCCAGAGTTCCAGGCCTGTTGATATTTTGGCACATTGCCTCCAGGCAAGTTCTCTAGACATATGTTTTTGTCATTTGCTCTTTTTCCATCTTTGGTATCATGCTCAATTAGTGAAGGGTCATAATCCTTCAATGGTGATGAAACCCGTATGGTTGGTTGCGTTGGAACTAGCACTGGAAAAGATCCAATGGAAGCACATATAAAATGACAAAGTGCATTGCACCCAGCGCTGGCAAGCATTGTTTTCTGCAAATGTTGTGTTAGCAATAAAATATGTATAAGGTGTCCTGGGTCAAGGTGCAAAATGAACCATGTGGACAAAGAAGGTTGCCTGCCATTCCAGTGAACAAGTGTTGGCTACCATCAAGCCATCAGCCAAAACACCACACATACCGCTCTCAACCACAGTGTGCCCTGAGGGGAACTCAGGACTTAGGATGGAGAAAATCAGAATAATGACCCTAGATAATTATTAATAAGAAGCATATCAAAGGAATAGTTTCAATGAGCCTGATTCTTTCATCTTCCCATGATGAAACATGGTAGAAAAACACAAAAATCATTAACTTGAGGTGCCTGTGTTTTGTGAGTAGCAGTAATCTTTTGATGTTCCACTACATGTTTTTGTTTTTCAACAAAACTTCCTACATATCCTGGCTCCTCCCTTTCGTCTTTGGCACAGTTTCTCAGAGGTATCTGAAAAGTTGCCTCCTGAGCTACAGTCTTCAGTAATATCACTGAACAAAACATAGCTAGCAACTTTTAGATTGAGCATCTTTTTTTTTCAGTCAACAACTGGTTACTCTGGGTCATGGTCAAAAGGTTTGAAAAATACAATATTTCTTTATGCTTGTTCCATGGACCAATTTAATAGAAAAGTAATTATATGCCATTTCATGTTAGCGGAAACATCATTGTAATTAGTAGTCTAATATGCCACCGGGTGGATGTACTGTAACGTACCTAATCTTCTCCTACTGCTTGGCATTTAGGTTGCTTCATTCTTATAAATAATATATAAATAAAAAATATATCTGAATAGCTTTTTCTACTTTGAAGATTAGATTTTCCCAAATAAAATGATGAAAGGATATGACTTAGAAAATGCTCAGAGCGCCCCATGCTTAATGACAGAGACACAGACACTATTTTGATGTTATTTGTCCCCACCCCCACCCCATCCCCAGTCCACAGTTTCAAAGATTCCTGTGGGAGTTCAAGTGCAGCTGGCAATGTGCACTTTGGATTTTCTTACTGAGAAAAGTTATCAAGAGGTAAATATAAGCTGATTATAGCCTACCGGAGCTTTGTCTTTGTTACTGCCATCACCTCTCCCAACCTAGGACAAATACTTCCCAAATTAGGGCTTGTGTGCCAGCCACCAAGATGACTTTGTTTGATGCATATGCATGGCGTTAGATGACCCTGAATTACGAACAGAAGACCGAACTCAGGGTGTCCTCAGTGCCTGAAACAGCCTAGAGGGCAGGAGGGAGGGAGGCATCCCGGCTGGTCTGCTCATCCGGTTCCGGGTCCCGCAGTAGGCCGGCCACACTGTTGGGCTGGCAGCATCTCTTCCCCTGGCTAAGACTGCTCCAGGCCTGGTGTTCGCACTCAACAGTGGCCCCAGTCAACATCCAGAGGAAGAGATGCATTCTCTTTCAGGACCTCTCAAAAGAGAGAAAATCTGCCCCCCTTCCCCCAAAGCCTCCAGGGAATTTTCTCCTTCTGTGTCAAAAGCACAAATTAGTTCACGTGGCCTTTTCCGAACAACTGAAGATTAGCCCTGAGCCTCAGGCCTAGGTCTGTGGCAAGGGGCCAGTGTGCTAAGAGGGTAAAGCAAGACTCTCTCCACCCCTTTGCTAACAGACAGACAGCAGACCTCGGGACGCCCTAGGCAAGCAAGCGTCTGGCTGGCTTTGAATGCCAGGCGGGTATTTGTTTTTGCCCGCTCCCCCACCTCCGCCATTGCTTTCTCTTGATGGCAAATAGTGCTGATTTTCTATTCACAGTTGTAATAGGAATTTTTTTTTAATTGTCATTCGGTTTTAAAACAAAATTTAGGAGATGTAGACTCCGAGTGAAATGCGCCACCCCGAGTCGGGGAATGGGAATATCTGAGGAGCGGTCACTGCTTGAGACTAGGCCGCAGTCACTAGGGCCATGCTCAGATCTCGCGATGTTTCTCGCGATGTTTCTCGCGATGTTTGGCCTGTTCCACACGGGAACTAGGGGCAGCTTCTCGCGAGAGCCTGTGCTGCGGGCTCTGGGAGGCTCCTCGTGCTGGTGAACGTGAACACTGGGGAGTCGCCGAGGCTGTCACAGCGGTGGATCCTGAGGTACCAAAGGCCCACCGTGAACCCTGTTGTGGGCTCCTCTAAGCCCATTGTTTCTTTTAGATTTGCTGGGGCCTAGGCAGTCTCAGAGCCCAAAATTCGGCCTAGCTGGCACTGTGGCCTGGGCCTGTTGGCTTAACAGTAGCAATAGGAGCGGCAGCAGCTGCAGTCTTCATGCAGAATACAAGCCTGGGAGTGGGCACTTGTGTATCACTTGGAAATGAGTTGTCTGAGGAGACACATGTGCTAACAAAGCCAGAGACTTTACTGGGAGGAGGTGCTGGCGCAGAGAGTAGCTGGGTGAGGAAACCAGGAGAACTGCTCAGCCAGGACTTGGCAGTCCCAGCTTTATGGTAATGGGGCTGGTCCTCGGGGTTGCCTCTGGCCTATCACCTCGTTTGGGTCCATATTCAGTCTGACTTGGGTCATTCTAGAGCTGCTGGCATCTCTCAGCCAGGATGGATTCCAGTGCGAGGGTTTCTGAGGGGTTGGCGGGATGTAATATGGACTGGCATCTCCTCCTTTGTTTTGGCCCCTCCCTAATTAGTTTTCCAGGGCAGCACCCTGTTCCTTATTAGAACCTTCTTTTGTGACAAGACTTGTGTAAGTGGTTATTATTGTGCTGGTCAAGGTGGGCTGTTTGAGTTAACAGTCCCCTAACACAACAAAAAAAATCGCAGACCAGGTGGCTTACAAGCAGCAGATATTTCTCATAGTTCTGGGGTCTGGAAGTGTAAGACGAAGGTGCTAGAAAGGTTGTGTGAGAACTGTCTTCCAAGTTGCAGACTTCTCTTTGTATCTTTACTTAGTGGGAGGGGCAGGGTAGCCCTCTTGGGCCTCAGTTATAAGGGCATTAATTTCAACCATGAGAACTCAGCATTCATGACCTACTCACCCCCCAAAGGCCCCACCCACTAATACTATCACATGGGGCACTAGGATTTGAATGTATGTATTTTGGGGAGATATAAACATTTAGACTGGATTAGAACCACATAGGAGTTTTGATAAAACGAGTTTCTGGGCTCCACCCTCCAAAGATTAGAAATGGTCTCCATTGGGGTCTGAATAGCTCTACTCTTTTTAAGAAAAAAAAAAAAATCTTCAAAGACTATTTTAATAGATTTCCCAGGTGGCGCTAGTGGTAAAGAATCTGCCTGCCAGTTCAGGAAAGACAGAAAACAAGGATTTGATCCCTGGGTTGGGAAGATTCCTTAGAGAAGGAAATGGCAACCCACTCCACTATTGCCTGGAAAATTCCCTGACAGAGGAGCCTTGTGGGCCACAGTCCATGGGATTGCAAAGAGTCGGACATGACTGAGCACACACACACACAAAGACTATTTTAAAGTAAGCCAGAGTAGGAACAACTGCTGGGAACTTTGGAGAATCCTTTTGAAACTGAACATTTAGGGGCAACATGGGTCTTGTTTGGTTTGATCTGCTGTCTCCATCCCAGAAATGTCATGTTTATATTCACTGTTAATCCAGTCAAAATGAACATAAAGATATGCAAGGTTGGTCACAGAGGAAAAAGGACAAAAGCTTTATTATATATGATAAAACACATTTTGAAAATACTGCTTCCTAATTAGTGTTCTCACAATAAATTTACAAGGATAGTTATAAATGCAAGAAGATATTAATGTTAACTTGTGATGTCTTTAATGTGTGCTTTAAAAAAAAAGTATACATTAAAGCTTGGAGTGTTTGAAAACCTTTTTTCAAAAGCCAGTGTCCCTTTTGTTATTATTTTCTTGGTGATATAAAATATTAACTTAGTATTCTGAAACTGAACACCTAAGGGCATTCAGCTTCAAACTTGAGGTGTCCGTCTGCTCCAGATGTTAGCTAGTGCTTGAAGATGAGTGTAGTCCCCGAGAGAGCAGAGTTACTACATTTTCAAAATGCAGTCTTTGTCAAATTTATTTGAAAAGTCATATATTTATATTTTGGTGCCTTTCTGCTGCTTTTGGCATTTACAAAATAAGGTACCTCACTCTTCACTAGTCAACGGTAAGATCAATGTAATTTAGGAGGTTGCTAAAGGAGATCAGTCCTGGGTGTTCATTGGAAGGACTGATGCTGAAGCTGAAACTACAATACTTTGGCCACCTGATGCGAAGAGCTGACTCATTGGAAAAGACCCTGATGCTGGGAGGGATTGGGGGCAGGAGGAGAAGGGGACGACAGAGGATGAGATGGCTAGATGGCATCACTGGCTCGATGGACAAGAGTTTGAGTAAACTCTGGGAGTTGGTGATGGACAGGGAGCCTGGCGTGCTGCAGTTCATGGGGTCACAAAGAATCAGACATGACTGAGCGACTGAACTGACTGACTGACTGAATCTTCCATAATTCCTCCCCATGAAATTATACTTGTACCTTTGCTCTTCCTTCTGTATCATGAAAGTGTTGACATTTTTAATCTAAACTACTTGTAGCATAAATGAATGTTAATGAAGGGGCTTTGAGTTCCTACGTTAAGAGCTGTTTAAAAATGATTAAAGAAGACAATTTAGGCGATAGAAACAAACTACTAAACACTTCATGAAGCAAGAGTCTACTTTTGCAGACAGAATTGCAGAATAGGGTGGAAGATAGGAACCTTTATAGGATAAAGACTAAAAAGCAAGACAGAGAAAAGTAGAAACTCTCTGATTGGCAGGTACCACCTAGTCCACCCAGCTTCAGATGAAAAGCCCCAGAGTGGGAATTGGCTGGCTGGATATATTGCATTTCTGGTCAACTGGAGCGTTTATAGGGACACAGAAGTTTTCTGAGTTTCCATTTGCTGATGTGGCTCACCATCCAGGAGTGTCTCCATAATGGACCTAGAAAGTTACTTCAACAGAACTAAAGGTGAAATGGCAACAAAAGAAGAAACCCAGGCAAAGGATTGAATGAACTTTCTGAAACTCTTAAAGGTGCCTTGTTTATTAGGGGGATTCCTGTAAGGGCTAGACCAGGAACAAATGATTTATTAAAGAGGGACACCAGATGAAGAGAATGTGCCCACTGCTGTTAGCTCCACTTCCCATCCTGGTCGCATTTCTTTATTTGAAATTCATTTATTCAACAAATATTTAAACACCTACATGTGGACATGAGTTTGAGCAAACTCTGAGAGATAGGGAAGGACAGGGAGGCCTGGTGTGCTGGAGTCCACGGGGTTGCCAAGAGTCAAACACAACTTAGCAGGTTTTGTTTCCTCTGCTTGCCCTCCTGATCACCACTGCTCCTCACACCATCCCCTGGCCCACTTTGGCTTAGCTCCACTAAACTACCATCTGCACCTGTGTGTGTGCGTGTGTTAGTCACTCAGTCATGTCTGACTCTGCGACCCCATCAACTGTAGCCCACCAGTCTCCTCTGTCCGTGGAATTGCCCAGGCAAGGATACTGGACTGGATTGCCATTTCCTCTTCCAGGGGATCTTCCCGACCCAGGGACTGAACCCAGGTCTCCTGTGTTGCAGGCAGATTCTTTGCTATCTGAGCCACCGGGGAAGCCTGGGTCTCTGCGCCATCTGGACCTCTATTCCAGGAGCCCATAACCTTGGTGTGGTCCTCAAAATTTATATCTGTGTTAGAAGCCATTGGCATGGAAATGGTATTTAATAATCCAGAATCATATCTGGAAGATCACTTTTTCACTCTTTTATTCCACATTGAAAAAAAATATTTCACCTAAAATTTTTTCTTTAAGAATTAAAAAATAAGATAATTTATAACCTAGATCAACTGTATTCTTGATGCAATCATGTCTTATACCATGATACATTAAAAACACAGGGACTTTGAAACTAGCAAATAATATGACTGTAAAGCATCAAGAATATTCCTACTACAGAGGTACCAGTAAGATGTGTTATATGTTACCATCTTTTCAAGTTGTAAAGAAAGTACTTGAACTCTGCATCATTTGAAGTGTGATGGCGTATACACAGGATACTTAATTCCAGAGAAGAATCATGCATTGGCACCTGCTAACTAACCAGGTCGTGATGCTTGTGTTTGTGTATGTGTGTTTAATAGACTTATATTCCAGTTTGGCTTTTTGACAAATATGCATTTAAATGCATGTCTTAACTATATATTTTTTTAACAAAATGTTTATTTGCTTCTTATCAAAGACAATATCCTTTGAAACCTAGCACAGACAATGACAGCTTAGAGACGCTGAGTGAGGTCTGATACATTCTGCCTTTAACTTATCAGTCTGTGTGTTTGTGTTCAATCAGTACTGATGACTTTATGGCAAGGTTTGTGGACAGAGAAAAACAAGGAGAAGGTCAGGTAAACCAAACTGCTGCTGCTGCTAAGTCTCATCGGTCGTGTCCAACTCTGTGAGACCCCATAGACGGCAGCCCACCGGGCTCCCCTGTCCCTGGGATTCTCCAGGCAAAAACACTGGAGTGGGTTGCTGTTTCCTTCTCCAGTGCATGAAAGTGAAAAGTGAAAGTGAAGTCGCTCAGTCGTGTCCAACTCTTAGTGACCCCATGGACTGCAGCCTACCAGACTCCTCCGTCCATGGGGTGTTCCAGGCAAGAGTACTGGAGTGGGTCACCACTGCCTTCTCCATAAACCAAACTATTATCTGTCTAGTTATCTTCTTCTTTTCTTAAAAAAATTAACATTAGAGATTAGAGCCCCAACGAAATTATTTTTTCCCTTTCTACTTAAAAGCACTATTGCCTCGTTGATGTTTAATTCTTAAAATGACCACAAGGGATACCTTTGTTTGCATCCATGTAAGCTGCCTTCATTTAAGTGCAATGTTATAGCCCTGGAGGCAATTCATTTACTTGGTTGCTTTTGGTCAAAATGGTTCCTGGGTACTTTAGAGGGATATTGATCATTCAACCACTAAACTATTTGCAGAAAGGCAGATGAAACCACTTCATGTCTTTCATAAAAATCCTTTCAATGATAGTTGAAAGAGTTTTATTTACACCTGTCAATGCTGCCTTTTATGTCTATGTTTTACTTTCTGCAGA